ATCATCTTCTCATTAAGCCCCCCCAAAAAATGCATATTCATCAAATAAAATATTTTAACAAAATGTAAAAAATAAAGTATATAACGTTTAAAATATTTAGTAATTCAAAGAGTATTTATATTTAAGAACTGATTAGTAAAATAAGATGATATATAAACATTAATATTACAAAAAGAATTTACAATAACTTTTTTTAATAAAAATTGAAATTATAAAATTTTACAATATTTTTAGTAATTAGTATTTCAAATAATAAAACTTAAAAAATCGTTTGTAAATTCAAAACTTATAAGATAAGAAATACATGATACAAATTGTTTTAAATTCGTGGTTTACTTAATGCAGTAAAAGTTTGAGATTTTCAAAATTTGTGTTAATACTTCGAATGTTTACATTTAAAATAGAAAATGTATTTTTCAGAAATTGAATAATACTCGCTTTCAGAATTTTTTCTATTAAAATAGTTATCATCACTAGCATTCTCGTCATTTAATTTAAGTGAGAAATCAGCCTACATTTTTAAGAAAAAAGTTAATATAATTAAACAAAGTAATAAAAAAAGTAATATAAAATTGTAGAATATATAAATATGTTACAAAGAAAATCTTTTACTTTTGTTTGCAGCCCAATCCCGAATAACCAACTTATAGTAAGAGAAAAATGCATATTTCCTAGCCGCTCGTTCAACTTTTATCTGTTCCCGTAGAGCTTTCTTAATTGTGACAGTTTCGGCCCAAAAGACTTCGTTAATATAAATATTTTTACCTTTTAATTGAGTTGTTTTTTGAAAAATTTCAGCTTTATCTTTATAATCTAACAGTTTTACTACAATTGTTCTTGAATTACTCATATCTCTCTGGCCAGTTCTTTGAGCACTTTCAATCCAAAAACTTGTTAATCTCAAATGCTCTTCAAAAATTTTACTGACTTTTAATTGACTTATTTTAATTCACTATATTTTAATTCACTTATTTTAATTCACTTTATTTTAATTCACAATTTGTCAATCCACATTTAACCTTCGCTTTCTTTTAATCCGTCAACCCTTAAATTGTTTCTGCGAGATCTATCCTCCATCTCTCTTAGTTTACTTTTTATTTTAACATAATCGGAATTATGATTTAGCTTACCGATGCCAGATGTATGTTTTTTTTCCTGAGAAGCAATTGCGGTCTTAATTTTTACTTCAAAATGATGTTCGTGAAAGTTTAATCTTCGTTTGATTTCTTCTACGTCTTTTTCTAATGTCTTTATATGTTTTGCATAATCATTAACCTTTAGATCTACTTTATCAAACCTATCATATATAATTTTTGTGTTTGGGCTTAAAATTTTTAACACGTTATTTTCCTGCTGCTTCATCATGTCGTCTCTTTCGTTCTTAAATTCTTTAAACATTTTTTGTAACGTTTTTTTTACTTGATTGATTGTAATAGCCATAATTAATCAATATCTTAATATATAAAAATACATTTTTTTTATATTTGTTTATATAAATAATTCCAAACAATCAAAAAATTTTTTTTTTTTTTTAAATTTCGATAATAATGAGCATATGTAATTTAGATGGTGATCATCATATCATGATGTTGGTTCACTTTGAGTGTTTTATAGAAATGTATAATATCACAAATTTGTATATTTAATTTCAAAAACAGACACTCCGCAGTTACTGAAAAAGAAAAAGAAAATCCTAAATAATAAAAAAAGACACTTGCTCCAGCCCGTGCTATTCTTTTTTTAACGTTTTTATATATTGAAAAATTGGCTTATTCAGATCATTCAAAAATAATTAACTTTTTAAAACAAGGCTCTATATCTGAAGTATTAGAAAAGGTTGTATTTTTATACTTTTTTCATTTGAAAATTCTTTTTTATTTTTGTTACTGAACTCGAAAATGTTCTGAAACAATATTTTATTTAATTTATGTAAGTAAGACACAAATATGCATCTAACTTACCAATTTAAATTGATGGACATACTCTTTTCGAAAAATATGAGTTAGAAAACTGATAGGTTGGAGACCCATCCACTTTTATGGTATTGTATTTTATTGACTAGAAAGTTTTTTTTTTTCAATGAAAAAAAGTTTACTTAAAAGAGTGCTTTATAAGGTAACAATGTCTAAATTTATTTTCAGTTCTTTAATTCTAAAAAAATGTGGTTTGATTGAACAAAAACAAAAATATTTTATTGTCGCTTATTCAGGTGATATTAACTTAGTTGCGTGCTAATCAATTTCTGGATGAATTAAAGCTCTCATACCTCTACAAATCAGTATTGCATCATCAGTTGCATATATTACTAAAATTGTAGCACATAATAAGTTTTAGTAAACTGAATTTAATTGTTTCAATATTGTTAATTTTTTCTTATTTTAGTTTTTTGGGTCTCAAGTGAGATCTAATGGATGTTTGTCTGTGAGATGGTTTCTTGCCAATGTGCACAAAAAAACACTTCAATGCATTGATTAATAGTATTCCCGCAATTTTATTTTAGAGTAATTTTATGTAAATATTTTTTTCGATAACAATATGAACTTGCCTTATGTTTAAATATTGTTTTAAATTTTATATCTAGTGTTATTTTATTAAATACAAATGAGTTTTTTTAATTACTCTAACGTTTATATATGCCTTTGTAATGTAAATTTTAATTATACATTTTAGTTCAATTGTTTACTATTTTTCACACATAGTTTAACTTTGTGTTATTTAGATGCTGTAAAAAAACAGCTTTAACCTCAGGAACATCAGAAAAAGAGTTTGAACATTAACTGAGGAGATATTTTTAGCTTTTCATGGATAAAAATGGTTGACCAAAAGACCGAGAGAAACGTTCTTTGTATAAAAATTTATTTGCATAAATAACAATTTGAACTTTTAATAATATATATATATTTTTTATTTATTTTTTTTTTTTCACTCTTTTGATTAGCAATAAATTTCGAAAATACTTTATTAATTTTTTCGATATAAGTTAGAATAAACTTCGAAAAGTACTTCGAAAAGTACTTTGTTTTATTTATGCGGAATAATAAATTAGTGAAGAAACGAATAATAATAAAGTGCTAGTGTATTTGTTAATAAAAAGTGAGGCTTTAGTACTGACACGCGACCTTGAACAAATGTTGCAAACTGATCACGGATCAGTACTAGTAATAAATAGTGGGCCAGTGCTGGCAAATAATCCAGGGCCAGTGCTGGAAAACGATCGCATGCCAGTGGTAGCGAACAATTGCGGGCCATTGCTGGCCCATGGCTATCGGGCCGGTGCTAGGGTTGGTTTTTATTATTGGTTGCTATTTTCGCTAAGTTAAAATGACGTTTACCACTAAAATACAAGGCTCCTAGACATTTATATTTATTTTCACTGTTATTATTATTAGTTTGTCGGTCAAACCAAATATTTATTTCAATTCATTAAAAGAGCACATAGAGTGGAACCAAGAGACAATAAAAAACTAGAACAATAGTTCTGAAGCTGTTTAATTATGAGACAAAATTGAAATACTCAAAATATTGTTCAAACTTAAAGGAAAACACAACTTTAAAATAAATGAAGACTTTAGAACTGGAACTACAGAAATAAGTAAGGTTGTAAAAAAATATATATAAAAAAGAAATGTGAATCTGGTAAATCTGGTAAAATTCTACAAAAAACTACTCATTAGTGATTGAGCTGTGAAGAAATGAGATATTGTCTCCACTAACTACACGAGTATCAATATATATATATATATATATATATATATATATATATATATATATATATATATATATATATATATATATATATATATATATATATATATATAAATAACATAATTTGATTTTTATTGTTTTAAAATAGATGATAACTTAGTAACTAAACTTTGTAGTAAAATTGTCATTATTTCTGGTTCTAAACTTCGTATTTAACAAAATAAAAATATTGGGTGGAGATAAGTCAGAACCCTTAAGTTACTTTCGCGAAATACATTAAAATAAGATTTATTGTTTGACCTTATTTTAGGTGAATAATGTTCTTGGTCAATTGAGTAAATGAAATATATTTTTTTAAAGTTAGTTATTTTTTGTGTCTATTGACAAAAAACAAAACAAATCTTTGTCCCATTTTCTAAATAAAATTCTTAGCAGGTTCTTTTTGAAATAAAACTTAAATGTTTAGTATTTTCTATATAAGATTTTTTTAAATATATAAAAAACCAAAAAACAAAACAAAAAAAACAACGAACAAACTGAAAACCTCTAAAAAAATGATTCAAACTCTTACTCTAAAACTAAACTTTAAATGAAGTCATGTTTAGTAAATAGCTAATATTAATTTGTATTTAACTTTTTTCTCCATTAAGAACTCTCAAAGCATAAAAAAGTTTAACAACAACTTTCACCAGTCTTGAAACCATTTAAGCTATAGATAAAAATTTAAAAGTCAAAAGGTATTAAACCCTTAAACTATAAAGAAAATAAGGCGTGAACTTCGTTAAAATATCTCTATAAGAAAAGCTCTGAAATAAAATCTTAATTTTTTTTCAAATTAACCTAGGATGGTAAATTTCAAAGATTGAGTATTAAAAAATAAAAAAACTCAGGTTTTGTTGTATTTTTTTCCAATTGACTTGTAAAAAAAAAAAAAAAAATATGTTAATTAGTTTCCTAAACTCATAAAAAACACAGTTATAAACAAAAAGTCTTGAATTTTATTTTCTCTCATACATTAGAAGGCCAACTATAAAAATACTATTATGCTTCAGTCTGCTGATTTTTTTCTAATGATCTTTTTTTTTTGTTTTTCAGAAAAATGTTATGCTGAGTTTAATCCAACCAGCTTTAATATATCTTGTTCTTTTGATATTATGCTATATTTTCTTGTTTAGATAAAATTATTAGGTAGGTTATTAACTATTTTATTTTTGACAATGGGAATAACTTGTTAGCTATCCATCAGATTTTATTTAAAAAACATCAAAAGTATTTAATAGTAAAAATATAATTACCAGATAAACATCTGTGTCCATCTTTTAACAAATAATATCCTGGAGGACATGAACATTTTGCATAATATTCTGATATTATTGCGCAATATGATAAATTGTAGCAATTTTTTTGATCACATGGATCTTAAAAAAAATTTGATACAAAATAGTGTTACTAGAAATAATAAAACAATAACATGAAATTTTTTTATAAAGTAGTAATAAATATATAAAACTATAGTAAAAATGTAAATAAAAATAATTATAAATAAGAAATGAAGTATAATCTAATAAAAAGTAATATAATAATAAATATAAAATAATAAACTATAAATGAGAATATAAAAAATAAATGAAAAAAAATTTTTTAAATCATAATTATTGAATAAAACATTTTATTTTAATTAGGCTGCAAACAACAATTATTAAGTAAGGTTTTACTAGAAAACAAAGAATATAATTAAGTTCTATGGAGACTGTAAACTTATATTCATTCTTTAAGAAATGCTTTTATTATACTTAGGCTAATTTTTCAATAATGTTCTTTCTCTTCGAGACAAGGTAAAAGACATTGTAATAAACCTAAAACGTGATTATAACTTTCATTGTTGTAAAGTTTCTTTTCTTTCTCTTTTAACAAATACCGTTATAGTTACTCCTCAAAAGAACTATCATCTATATAAAAAACTTAAAAAGTTGTAGATTGTATGAGTCTGGGAACATGAAGCTGAGAGAAAGTTTCATAGGGTTAAAGTGTGCGGAAAAAAATACGCAAATAAATTTTTGAGAATTTCAAGGGAAATTAATAGTAAAAGGTTGTGAATTCAGTATGTAGCGAGAATAGGTTTTGATTGAGGGAAGTAGAGATCATTGTTATTTTGAGGAGCAACTATAACTGTTGTTAAAAAGAGAAAGATAAGAGATTTTACGACAATGGGAAAGAAATTCACGCTTCAGGTCAATTACAATGTCTTTTACCTTTTCTCAAAGAGAAAGAACATAATTAAAAGAACCAGCCCAAATATAATAAAAGGATTTCATACAGGGATTATTAAGAAACTCTTAGAATTAAAGAATATAGTCAGAAGTAAGAACAGCAAATACAGTATAAAGAAAAAAGCATATCAGATCCTTGCAATCAATTGTATAAACGATTTCCATGAACGGTCAGTAATAAATGATGATCCAAAAAGACGCAATAAAGAGAACTAAGAGAGATGGTTGCTATATATTAATATTCATTAAAATTGTACGCTTGTATTATCAACAATAATGAAATAATATATATTATAACAACTTTTATTTACAATACTTATACCTTCAAATACTAGTAAAACTTAACTTATATTTACAATACTGATAAAATATTAATATAAGCCTTTGCATTCAAACTTTAATTTTAAAGTTGTACTTTAACTTGATAGCTTGAACGTAAATAACGATAACTAATAGAAGATAATAGTTACAATAAAGATCATAACCATTCGCTTATTTATTATAACTGAGTTATAAAAATTTGAACACCATTTTATTTTTCATAAGTTAATTTTAAAAAGCTGGTTAAAAATAAAAAGTTTCTCGAAGAAGGAACAATAATAGGTCCTAGATCATATGTATCTTATGTATTATTTCTGCTCTGTGCACACTGACTGTTGAAAATATTTGCATACTGATACGAGTAAAAGTAACTTTAATAACTAGAATGTATTTTTGATAAATGTTTGAAATGATAGGTTAGTAAATATATTAATAATAATAATAGTAACAATAATAAAAATAATAGCAATAATAGTAATAATAGCAATAATAATAATAATAATAACGGCAATAATTTTTATTTATTGGAATTACTGAGAGAATTATATATGATAGAATGGCATGAACTTTGAAAATAAATATAATGATTGGAGTAAATACTACATTTGTTTATTTCCACGTTAATGTAAGGAAATGTCTTTTTAATCTAAAGAATATTGGACAAAAGTAAATATTTTCTTAAGTTTTAAAATTTTGTAAAAAAATGGGTTTTAAGAAAAACATATGTTAAATATAAAAAAATAAACATTTAAGTATAAAAAAAACACATGTAATATAATAAAATATTTACATCAAAACATATATGTTATATGAAAAATAGGAGTTGCAGCTGATAATTCAACCTCCGCTTTGAACTTATCAGTTTTAGATTAAAGCTGAAACTGAACAAGTCAACTTAATCAGCTTGACAGCTAATAGTAAAAGAGAATAATACTCCATAAATATATTATATAAACAAACATGTAGAAACTTATTCAATGAAAATCTAACACGTTTTCAACGTAAAATCGACGTCATAATTATGGCTGGAAATGCGTTTATAAATAAGATAAAAACTAAGCCAATTGTAAGAACAAATAGCAGACTGCAGTTTTATCATCAAGTTTGTTCCTTCGCAATTTTTCATTTAATTTTTAAGTGAAATTAAAAAAAAATAATTAAAATTTGCAAAAAAAAAGTAAAATAAAAACAAACAAAAAAAATTAAATAAAGGCATATACGTAAAGATCTCATAAATTAGTATAGAACAGAACTATGTATATTATAATATCTTGATTATTTGTAGTCACTAATGTATGAATAGCATATTAATTAGATTAAATGTATTTACCCAGCACACATACGTTGTTAAAATATTAGAACAGTGTCGCGCGTTTCGTAGGCCCAACATCGGCTGCCAACGTCGCGGAAAACTAAAAACAACTTTTGATAAAACTTTTATTTAAATTTGGAAAATGGTTATATTTTCTTCTTTGATTTAGCGTTTTATTTTATACGTTAGCCCAATGTTCTATTTTACGTTATTTATACGTTGCAGTATATATATATATATATATATATATATATATATATATATATATATATATATATATATATATATATAAATATATATATATATATATATATATATATATATATATATATATATATATATATATATATATATATATATATATATATATATATATATATATATATATATATATATATATATATATATATATAATATATATATATATATATATATATATATATATATATATATATATATATATATATATATATATATATATATATATATATTTATATATATATATATATATATACATATATATATATATATATATATATATATATATATATATATATATATATATATATATATATATATATATATATATATATATATATATATATATATATATATATATATATATATATATATATATATATATATATATATATATATATATATATATATATATATATATATATATATATATATATATATATATATATATATATATATGTATATATATATATATATATACATATATATATATATATATATATATATATATATATATATATATATATATATATATATATATATATATATATAAATATATATATATATATATATATATATATATAGATATATATATATATATATATATATATATATAATTTAGCAATAGCAATATTTGGTCGCATGCATTGAATCAACGTTGGGTTTAGTTCGTAAAAACAATCAACTTTTTGCGATGTATTTTCATACATTGGATCAACGTTGATTTAAATACATTGTCGAAATTAATACATTGGATCAACTTTAGAATTAGATCGTAAAAACAATCATTAACAAAATGACATTGGATCAACGTTGGTTTTGCATTAGAAAAAAGAGCCGATGATAGCAATGATTTTACATACGTTGGCCCAATGTAAGTGTGCTAGTTGGGTAATTTATCTTAAAAATAGTAGAGTACGTTAACGTCTACTCACCTATGGCAAATAAGTTTTTTACGACTGCTACTTGAAATGTTTTAAATGACTTTATGTTTCTCATTTTCTCTTTAAGGAGCCAAGATTAAAGTAAAAGTTCTAAAATCGTAGACCAGTAAAAAGTGTTCTATGTTAGATTTTACTAATTAACAATTTTGATTAAGATTTACTCCTACAACACTAATACATCTACATAAATATTCTTTACAGAAAACTTGGAGAAACAAGTTTTGTCAGTTATAGGTGGGAAACGCTAATCTCTATGACTAAATTTTTTTCTTATTTCAAAAAAAAGCAGTACCAATATCATAATTAAACAAACATTGCGGAACCAAATGTTCGCGTGGTAGTTTTATGACTATTTATGCCACATGCTATCTTTGATTTAAATAACTGTTTTAATGTATTTAAAAAACAGAATAAACAATGTTGCTCATTTATATTAAATTACTATAACCAATACTTACTATCACCAAAAAAGCATTTGCCATTTTGTGTTTCATAATAATCCTTTGGACATGCTGAACATACTGCCTGACCAGAAACCACAGAACAATTTTTATGGTAACTGCATGGTTCCAAACTACATGGATCTTAAAAAGAAAGTCAAATTTCTTTTTAGTTATAAATTATAACATAGTTTACAAAATTTAAAAAACTTTGATAATGTTTTTATAATACAAAAGAGAGAGACTTTTGGCATTAAATTAAAGTGAATATCAAAACTACATTATAATTTTATTATATAAAGAAAAGTAAATTCTTTTATTCAGAGTTTTTAATTAAAATATAAATTGAATATTTCTTCTTTATTTTAAATAAAGTTATCTCTTTATAATAATACTAGACTTAATAGTAGTAGAAGTGCGCTTTCGAGCCTGTTTGACACGATACTCTTGGCAACCATTGCGTCCGAGGTAGTGACGAGAAAGAGTCTCACCTATGCTTTATAAGAAAACGTGAGCAAACGTGAAACTCATATCGTACGTACCTAAACTTCATGTTATGTAATGTTAAAACATGCTTAAACATATATCAAGTTCAACAGTTTGATTTTCACTTAAGAACTGCATTTCGTCAACCTTTGCTCAGTTTCTAATCTTTTGTATCTATATTCGTTAAAAATTATTTTTATATAATTTAAAATCTTCGATACTTAACGTGTCAGCGTAGTAGAGTGGTTAGCGCACTGGGCTTTAAACCAAGGTAGCCGTGGTTCACGTCCTGGCATCGGCAACTAAATTTTTTTTTTTTATTTTTTTTTTTGCGCATATGTCATTATTGAGATACTTATGTTATTTTAGTTAAACTTTTTAAGTTAATTTACAACTAAATTAGGCAAGGAAAATTAGTAAAAAATATGTTTATATATAGAATATAAAAACTATATAACTTTTCGTTTGCATTTTAAACAACAAAACCACGTGGCAAGCTGATGAGCTTGCGACGCGGCGAACTTAACTTTTTTTAAAAACGGTAAGGGGATTTAAAATGTATATTTTTATTAAGAACATAATTAAAAATTGTAATTTTATATTTAAACTAAATTATTTTATAAAAGTTGTTGTTTCTAAATATAATTAAAAGTTAAACTATTTAATATTAGCATAATAAGGAACTTTAGAGATTTACAGCTATTTATCAACGTCCCTGTTAAACATTCTTAACCGAGAACGTATCAATTACTGTGATGATTTAAATAACATGAGAAGCACGAGGCACTGTAGATGTGCATGCGATAAGTATTTGAATTACTTTTTAAACTTTCATGAATCTCTAAATATCTTTGAATATCTCTTTATTAAGAAACTATGTTTATTGAATATACATTTATTTATGAATTCTATTTATAATTTTATTTTGTAACTTTCAATCTGTTTTTATAGCTACTAAAGTTTGACTTTTTAATATTTTAGTTAATGAAACATGTTCTGTTTTGTGGGTGATGTGTGAAAATTGTTTCTCAACAAGCTGTTAATTTTGTAGAAGCTGAAAATTAGCATATTTTCTATATAAGTGAATTATTTTTTATTTTTAATTGCTTTTTTTTGTAAGATACTCAAACATGTTTTACATGAATCTAGTTATTTAGTACAGTGTTATTGTCTGGTGATGATATTCATGTTAGATTTTATTAAGATAAATTTACCTTTAAAAATCTTTCAAATTTACTTTTTTTTTTCCTAATTATTTAAATATTAAATAACAATATTTATGTAATTGTTGTTTTAATTGCAGTCTCATAGCTTATCATATATTGTAAGTTTTAAATTTGAATATATCTTTATCTTAATTTTTAAAGTTTTTATTTATTTTAATGTAATAAAAATGTAATTAATTGTGTTTGATTTTCTAAGTTTTTATTGAATAGCAGTTTGTATTATTCTGTCCAACAACATGGGTTTCTAAGTGGGGGGGGGGGGGTACAATAGTCAAATTCTAAATAAAGTCTTATATGTCTAGAATAGGCAATAAGATTTTTCCTCTATTAAAGGGAAGATATTACCCTTATCAAAAGTGCAGTTTAAGAAGCCATAGTCGACAGTGGAAAATACATAACAACATCTACAAATAAAAGAAGTATGTGAATGTATTTAGTTGTATATGTATATTTTTATTGATCTATATTTTATTTATTTTTTTTTGTAAATAATTATACTCTTTCAAAAACATATTTTTTTTCTTTTAATATTAATTTAGTTAAAAATTAAACTACATTTACAAAAACATTTGTTGAAAGATGTACATTTTGTTTTTACACTAAACACCATAAAAATTTTAGTCAACAAAACATGCAAAATTTTAGAATGATTCAAGAGCTGCTGTGACAGTGTTTATGATTCTCGATGTCAAAATAATATATTTTAAATAAAATTTTTTGAATAATAAACTTTAATAATGACTGATTATTGCACGTATTCATAGGTTTATTAAGTAATTGCAAAAAGAAAGAACTTTAATGACCTTTAAAAACGTAATAAACTTATTATGAAAGAATTGTTTTTATCAATGTGTCCTTATCTGTTCAAGAAAATATTATAGTTTTTAATAAAAATAGTCATACTTAACAAAAAAATTAACGTTTTAATACTTTTTTTTTTTTTAATTTTTAGTTTGATTTAACTATTTTACCATCATTATCTTGTAAAGGTAAAGTTTTTTTTTAATTTTTTTAACTGCAAAAATAATGTATTAAAAACATTTTAAAATTAGTTGTTATTTTATTTCTTTAGTTCTACTTTAGTGCTCTACAGACTATTTGTTTACTTTGTCTACTGTTAAAATATGGTTTTAACTTAGTAGGCTTAAGTTATTTTAAGTTTACTTTGTTGATCATTAGCTAATAGTTTAAATAAAAACTAGTTTTTTTTTGCAAACAAGGTAAGAATATATTTAGTTTCTGTTTGAATAACATTTTTTTGATTTTTTAGTTATAAGAAATTTTTTCTGTTACACATAAAGTATTTTTCTTACAGGTTTTAATTGTTTAATCAGCAACAGGTTAATCGGATTGCAGTGCTATTTCGCCTTCTTTACTTTTTTCATGTCATTATTTAATTTTGTGTCAGTTTATACATCTTACAGTTTTTTTTAAGCATTTTGCAGAACGAATAGAGGGTCCACATCTCACAAGGTGTGGGTTCAAGTTTTGGGCTGAAGCATTCCCTTTCTCTTTATATATATTTTTGAATGTCGAGGACGAGAGTGAGTAGTAAATAAAAAAAACGTTGTGTCTATAATTAGTATTCATGTTATATTATTCTACCAATTAACCCAAATATTGCTTATTCTACAAATCCTTTATTGATAATGCAAATTTAGTCAAATTTTTTTTGTAAACATACATTTTTTATATATATTTTTATTGTTGTTATATATTATTAAATTGATTTCCAGTTAATACATTAATGCAATACAGATTATTTTTTATTCCTTTAAAACATGCCAAAAGCGGTTAAAGGACTTTGTGTGGGTTTAAATTCTTTTGTTTCCACTTTCGTTGTGTTGTTTTGTGTTGATATATTAGATGATTTGGTTTACTTTCACGTCGGGATCTTTACTATGAAATGATTATTGGGTAGGATATGTATTGGATTATTGGGTTAGATTTTTTTATTTTGATCATTTATTTTTAGCCTTGCTTTTTTAGAAAGAGTTGTTAATCCAAACTTGCAACAGTAAAGCTTGAAACTTTCACAAAAGAAAAACAACCTCACTAAGTAAGTTTCTTATTAGTTATCTGTTTAGTCATATTTTTGAGTTTTCAAATCAAAAAAGTACAAATTGATGTGTATTACGTGTATTTAATAATATTTATGTTCCATTTTTAGGTCAAATTCCTTCTCCTACGACTGATTTTGAATATTCCTACACAGTAGAATTTAAGAAATGTTCTGAATTGTTGATTGTTTTCAATAAGTTAAAATAAAGCTTGTTAATCTCCATACCATATACTAAAAGATATGTAATAATGAAAGATTTTTTCAAATTAAAATGTATTTATTGTAATTAAAAGTATTTTTGTAGTTTTTTTAAAATTTATTTTTCTTATTTCATCTCAAGAAAACTTTTTAATTTGTTTCTCAAATAAGTTTCTATATTTTTTATCTTTATAATTTTGGAGCTTTGAATAAAAATACTGGCTAATTTTGCTTTGTTTTTTTATTTTTCAGTTAACTTTTTATATGTAAATGGAAACCATTTATACTTATATCACCCTGTGTACTACTAGGACGGTTTTCATTTGCATTAATTCTCGATTGCACAAACAATAGGTTTAAAAATTTATTTGCCTAATTCCGCAGTGAAAACAGCTTAATTGTATGAATTTGTTGAGTATTTATTTTTATAGAAAGGCTTTTATATAAAATATTAAGCAGATAAAGCTAACTTAATTGAAATATTTAGGCCTCTTTTGGCTTGCTACATTTTTCAATGTCCCAATTTGCTTTTTAAACAAATCTTTATAAGAGAGTTAAAATAATATCAAAGCATAAGTATCCAAAAACACCTGAAGAATTGATAGGCAACTGTCTTATATGCTAAAGTTACTTTTATTATTTTATTATGTAAAAAATATTAATGTAATAGTTAAAATACTAAGTAATTCTTAAGTATAATAAATTTAAAATTAACCAAAAGCCAAGAACTTCATGTAGTCAGTATAATGCTAACTGCGTACTTTTTAGCGAGCCAAGACATTTTAATGAGCACAACAGTCCTAGTATTTAAAACATCTGTTCATCAACCCGTATCGTACGGGTCATGACAGCTATAAATGTTACGCAACTTTCTTATATGCTAAAGATACTTTTATTATGTAGAAAAGTAAATAAGTAATAATGTAATAAGTAAAAATACTAGATAGTTCAAAATTGTAGTTAGTTAAAATTAACCAGAATGCAAGAGCTTTAAGTAATCAGTAAAATGCAAACTGCTTACTTTTTAGCGAACCAAGACAATTTAATGACCACAACAGTCATGATATTTAAAACATTTTCTCATCAGTTTTTTAAGTTAGATACAATGGTATTCAATATATTTTATTTAAATTAAACTGTATTTTTTAAATTAATTATAATTT